AGTTCTTTGGTATTGATATAGTAATTTATAATTTTTTGGTTATTCAAATGTATATATATATAACCTAAAAAATTACTTTGTTTCACATCCTCCACATGCAAAATTTGATAATCCTTAGCAACCTATGGCAAGCAGCAAATGAGTACAAAGTCGTAACTAAGAGAGATAATTGTTTGCTTTACTTCTTTATTTACTGTTTTATTTTTTAAGAAAAATAAGTTCAATAAGTTATTTGTGAATAGTAATAATCTATATACATATATAATATATAATAATTGAAATGTGACTGTATTTTACAAAATACTAGTCCACTAAGAAACAGCCAAGAGATGTTTTTTAGAGATTAAAGGTCAGTCTTATATTATTGGATATGGTAACATGAGAGCACATGTGCCCTGTCATTGTAACTTCTATATTGTTAGCCAGGCACAGGTGAAAGGTCAGTATAATAAAAATAATAAATTTATAAAAATGTATAATGTTATGAGATTTAACCTATTTAGTCTAAACACATATGTTTTTCGTGTTGTAATTTGTAGTTGTTTTAGAACGGAAAAGGTATAGTTTATAATTATTTCCTAATTTTTTATGGTGGTTACGTGATTGGTCAAATTGACCGAACCCATAAAGATATCCATTAGCGAAAATAACAGATAAAATACATAGTTTTTTCCTAAAAAAACATTTGACAACTGTCTCAACATTATAAGGATTTCGCATGTGAAATATAAAAATGTTGTGATGCATAAAAGTATTTTTAATCTTAAAATGAAAATTACTTTGCATGTTGGATAGGCAACATGCAAAAATAAAAAAAGGCATGAGAAAAACATTGCTTTAGAAAAAATCAGTATTAAATATCTGATTTTTCAGAAACTACATACTTATAGGACCTTTCATATCAAATTTAAAAGAATTTCATCCACTAGTTTCATTTCTGTAAAGAACTATCACAAAAGTTGCATACCTCCTTACAATGTAAGTGGGTTATGGTCAAGGGGTTAATCAAGATTATACTATCATTCTGATAACTACATAAAACCACCTTGTTCAAGGTGACCTCCAATAAAGACGAGAGGTGTGCAGCTGTACTTGTTGGTTTTAATGTTAAACTATTAAGTGACGTTGCCATCTTTCTATTAATAATTACATCAGACATGAATCATCCTATTCTAACTAGTAGACAACAATATCTCACCGTTTAACAAATGTGCAGCTGTACTTGTTGGTTTTAATGTTAAACTATTAAGTGACGTTGCCATCTTTCTATTAATAATTACATCAGATATAAATTATCCTATTCTAACAAGTAGACAACAATATCTCACCGTTTAACAAATCTCACAGAATTTGACAGTTTTCTTGATCCTTTGTGAGAAAGTGTGGAACATTTGTAAGTATGATTTTCATGTGAAATATGTAGCAGATGAACTAATTTATAGCTCAGTGTGGTTTCTCAGTATGATAAAATTGTCAGTGAAAGGTGTAAATAATGTCAAAATACGTGATGTTTTTGGTACCGTAAGAATATATAGAGAAAAAGTCAAGCTGTAAGTTAGAAGCAGTTCATTAGACCATGAAGTCATATCCCTGTCCAAACCTTGAAAATAAGATCTCGTGAGCTAATTACTACACTAGAATTACATCACTTGGTTATCGTAATAAAACATGATAAGTAGATTAGTGCATGACTATTTTCTTAGAATGGTGTGAAGTTATCTAACATGAACTTTTGTGTTCTCTCCATTTTAGGTTTACTTGGTTCATTTGTCAGATGTAGCTCAACCTCTGCTGGACAAGTTCCACCACAAAAGGTAACTATTGTTTTGGTTGGACAAGCTCCACCACATAAGGTAACTCTTGTTTTAGATTTCACATGTTTTGATTGGACAAGTTCCACCACAAGTTACTAGGACCAGATCAGGCATGACGTTATGTGTGTGACACCACATCGTTATGACGTCAAGCTAGGTAGGATCCAAATAAGAAAGCTGGGAAGACTCCCGTGACCAAAGACATGGAAGTGCACTTGCACCTTATCAATGCCTGTGTAAAATAAGTAAAAAATTAGGGCAAATATATATGCTTTTGTTAAAATAGATTGAAGATACCAGTTACCTGTAGGGAAGAGGATGACTTTTCCTCAAAAGAAGAGCAGGTGTGTGTAATCATTGTATGTTTTAATCTTTTATCTAAAGTCACCAATATGTAGCATGTTTGCTCAGTTATACGTAGTGGATTCAGGAGCAATATGTAGCATGTTCCTGAGAAAGGAAATTTTATAATTCTTTTGTGTATTGCAAGTTTTATACAGAATAGTTTGGGTTTCCAGTGGTTTCCCATCATTATTGAGGAGCTTTTATGCTAGTGTATTAACAAAGGGGAAGGAACTACACTGTGAGTGAACACAGTTAATTTGAATGAGTGTTCTGTTTATGTTTCTTGAAGGATCTATTAAAATCATTATATAAATTTTAGAAAACTCAAGTGGGATAAGCACAGATAATAATAAACATTTGATCCACATTTACAGTTTAAAAATGTTTTTATAAAATGCAGCTAATACACAAGCAGCACAGACTTCTAAGGTAAAGGGTTAATATCTTATTCATCAAGTTGGTTTGGAGAATCTGTTTTATCAGATTTATAGTCAGAAGAGTCAGTTATATAACTAAGTTTTTTTAGTCTGAAGAATATGTTGTTTAACTGTTTCATAATTTGAATAATCTGTTGTTTAATTTTGTACAAACTAATGCTTTCTTTGGTAAATTCCTGATTGAAAGTTTGTTTGTTTAGACAAAGTTTGGGCCTCTGAAGGACGAAGATCGGATATTCACTAATCTCTAGGACGTCATGATTGGAGGTTGAAAGGAGCTTTAGCGAGAGTGAGAAAATGTGTTAATTTATATGACTATCTGTGCAGTATGAGAATTTTACAATCAGAAACTTTTTTTAAGTTTCTTTTATATGTTTTTCCATTAATATTATTTTACATAATTATGAATAAGAAGAAAGTTCTTTATTTACGAAACTATCGGCAGAATGTAGAACCACTCACAACGTTAAATATATGACTCATAGCATTCGTTTTATTAATAGTGAATGCTTTTCTAATAATGGTGAAAATGTAGGAAAAAATATACAAGTGAAAGCTTGCAATAATCCACACTGAACCTGATAGGTTGATATATATGTGTTATAAAAAACACTTTCTGTATACACACTGAACCTAATAGGTTGATATATATGTATATATAGAAGCTTGCTGTAATACACACTGAACCTGACAGGGTGATATATATGTGTTATAAAAAAACTTTCTGTATACACACTGAACCTGATAGGTTGATATATATGTGTTATAAAAACACTTTCTGTATACACACTGAACCTGACTGGGTGATATATATGTATATATAGATGCTTGCTGTAATACACACACTGAACCTGATAGGTTGATATATATGTATATATAAATGCTTGCTGTAATACACACTGAACCTGACAGGGTGATATGTGTGTGTTATAAAAAAAACTTTCTTTATACACACTGAACCTGATAGGTTGATATATATGTATATATAGATGCTTGCTGTAATACACACTGAACCTGACAGGGTGATATGTATGTGTTATCAAAAAACTTTCTGTATACACACTGAACCTGATAGGTTGATATATATGTGTATATAGATGCTTGCTGTAATACACACTGAACCTGATAGGTTGATATATATGTGTATATAGATGCTTGCTGTAATACACACTGAACCTGATAGGTTGATATGTATGTATATATAGAAGCTTGCCGTAATACACACTGAACCTGATAGGTTGATATATATGTATATATAGAAGCTTGCTGTAATACACACTGAACCTGACAGGGTGATATATATGTATATATAGATGCTTGCAATAATCCACTCTGAACCTGATAGGTTGATATATATGTGTTATAAAAAAACTTTCTGTATACACACTGAACCTGACTGGGTGATATATATGTATATATAGATGCTTGCTGTAATACACACTGAACCTGATAGGTTGACCTGAAAAAGTCTGAATCAAAAAGCCTACTTCAAGATTCACACATTTGAAAGATGTACATATAAGTTCTTTTCTGGCAGCACTTTCCAAAAACAGACAAGTAAAAATTACAAACTTGTAATTTGTTTGGAGAATCTTATCTTACTGCATGTACATTGTTTGTAAATGTAAGTTAGGGTAAACACTTTGAATCCAACTTTGTAGACTGCGCTAGCCAAAATAAAAAAAAAAAATAATATTATTGTTTAACCGATCATGTCACAATTGAAAATAATTGACTGTCGCTTATTATAGAGAGCAATCGACTCGATTCCAATTACCTACAGTAAAATTGATGATTTAATTGTGTAGTATTGTTGACAGTTTAATGTCAAAATTTGTAACGACTACAGAGAATGTACTTTGAAGCTTCATTAAATTTGATTTGGTTGAAGTTATCAATAAATGTGCTATGAAAAAAAAACAGAATAAATAAGATGAATCATGTTCTCTTTTCCTTTTGTATTTGAACGAGGGGAAAAGAAAAATTGGGACTGTCCTTGTGGCTAGTACATGATCGACACATAACGTTACTTGACCATTGTGAGAAACACAAATTTTTAAAGTTCTTGTGGCTAGTACATGATTGACACATAACGTTACTTGACCATTGTGAGAAATACAAATTTTTAAAGTTCTTGTTGCTAGTACATGATCGACACATAACGTTACTTGACCATTGTGAGAAACACAAATTTTTAAAGTCCTTGTGGCTAGTACATGATCGACACATAACGTTACTTGACCATTGTGAGAAACACAAATTTTTAAAGTTCATTGCATAAATTCATTATTCATTTCAGCCATAAGTTTGAAGACTTTTGCTATACTCTACACTCAACCACTTTCTAAATCAAACAAAGTATTTCAATCAAAGGTCAAATATAGTGATGGCATTTGAAATTTTTCATTCGTAAAGAGAGGAATCTTCAAACCAGTTCTCAAAAGTTTTTTTCAAATTGACCTCATTAAAAATGCTCCTAATTGTATCTTTATTGTATATGTAATGATCAACTTTTCAACCTTAAATAAAGAAATGCATTATGATAAAAGAGCCCCACATCGTGCTAGTTGA